AATATAATTCATGCACGTTATCGGTGTAATATCTCCAACACTTTATGGAGTCCTAATTGAAATTCTAGCTACCAAGAGAAAGCCACCCATCAATCCTTGCCTTACTAATCTTTAACATAAGAAAAAATAGACCGCTTTATTGCTTTAATTAAAGTGAGGATTTATAACAAATATGGATGGAGATCGATGCAGATGTATCAAAGAATGCAAAACCAAAACACTCTTTCATATTTATTTCATTAGCTTATTAGGTGGATTTATTAATTATTTGAATCACTCTTGCCTTGGATATGAAAACCAATATCATAATCATGACCCATTAAAAATGTGCATTAATGATTAAACCACAAATAATTGATATTTGCATTAATCAATTCGAATTCATTCTTTCAGAGATGATCGATTAATTAGTGAGGGGACTAATAATTAATAGATTAATTACATACGCTTTAGCTGTAATATAACTATTCTGGCGATTTTCATGTCCAAAATGTTCTTGATATCAGAACATTGCAAATATTTACATGGAAAAACATTATAAATTATCATCCTACAAATACTTATCACTTTTGTGGTCCGATGAAAACACAATGTACTGTACTTAATTGTAAAAAATAATTTCTTCTTCTTTATGTTCATTTAATTCCTCTTTCTACTTTTTTTTTAATTAGGTTATGATAAACTGATTTATTTTTACAAGCCATTAATATGAAAAACATAAATTAAAATTCATAATTCAATGATAGTGCAACATAAATTATTTATCCCAAATCACAATTCANAACATCTTCTCAATTGACTTTTTTTTTTTCACTTATCCTAATATCCTAAACAAAAATTCTCAAATCACAAATCTAAACTCATAAATGATAAATTACAATTCATAACTCAATGATAGAGCAACATAAATTATTTATCCCAAATCACAAATTCACAAATCACAATTCACATATTCACAAATCAAATTCTCATTTCAATGCCAAATTGACAATTAACTCATAGAACATAAATCATGATTCTTAAGTAATGATAATCATAACTCATAAATAAAAAATAACCCGAAAACCAAAAAAAACAAAAAACAAAAAAGAGAAGAGTCAGAAAACTCACGGCTCAAATTTACAGTCATGGCGATACTGCAGCAGCTGACAACACTAAGAGCATATTTCCAACCTTCCAGCTTTTGATCCGGCACTGGTGCAGGCATCATCGAGGGCGGGTGGAAGTGGGGAATCGTGTAAATTTGTGGAAAATGAAATGGAACTGACCTGGGTGAATTACTGAAAACGGGCCCTTGAGCCTGGACCATATATATCATTTATTTGGGCGGAAAAGCAGAGGTCCAACTACATTAAATTATAACTTCAGGCTTCAGCCCAACCAAATGTAAAAGCCCAATTAAAAAAGAAGAAGAAACATGAAGAGGAAGCCTTCGCCAACGCCGGTCTTCTTCTTTCATCCCCGTGCATTGTTCCAGTGGAGCCTAGCACGCCCACCCCCCCCCCTCTCTCCGGGTGCTGGGTCTGCCACTGTGCCCCACTAGTATTTATAAATATGTGCAAGTATATATCTTCTCATAGCATGATTATTAGAAACTCCCTTCATATATATTTTTGAATAGAGATCATACACATGACTTCACTATACCTTAGGAACTTGATAGATCGGTCCATGATTCTCAATAATAATGATCTCATTTATTTCTCGAAACCATTTCTTGACCAAATTATAGAAACCATAGGTGAAATAGAAAAACATATTCTCCTTCGTACTAGAGATTTAAGGTAAAACTGCAACAGATCCCTTGACATATTCTTGAATATGCTATAATTTCCACAATTTCTCATGGGGCTCATATATATCTTCTCTTAGTAGAATTGTTACTTGAGCTCTTTCTTGAACTTTTGCCAAGTAATTATTGTAGATTTGCTATTTCTATGTTAAAGAGTTTGTGTTACTACATTAAAAAATATTTCTTCAATGATATTGCCCAAAATTTACGACTTCATTTACTACATGAAGCTCTCTACGACATGATTAGCATCCCATTGCTATTAAACTCCTTTAGCTCACTTTGAGCCGACATATTCACGCTAGGCCACCTACTCAGGGACGGATCTAGCTGTGAGCTGCACTTGGCTGTAGCCCACTGTTGCCCAAATCCATTAAAAATAGTACATTTAGATGAAAATTGATTTTAATTTTAGCCTCCATTTGTTTCTCATTTTTCATCTATAAAATGAAAAATATGACCGTTATCCATCACATCAAACCATCAATTTTGAATTTCTTATCTCTTGTGTGGGGTCCAATAACGACTATATTTTTCATTCTCATTCAACAATAATAAGAATCATTGAATCAAACAGAACCTTAATCTATAGCCCACTAACAATTCATATCACTTGGCTAGCTTAGTCAATTCTTAAAGGACAACTTACAAAAATACCCTTAAAATTATAGGTCTTTTGAAAAATCATATGAAACATATTTTGGAAGTAAACAATACTGTGTAAAATCAATTGTCACTTTTTTAATAAAAAGTGACACAATAAAAAAAAAAGTGACACTGAAAAAGTGAGTCACCGTCACTTTTTAAAGTTAAGTGTCACTTTATTAAAAAAATAATATACAATGCCACTTTTATTAAAAATTGATGTTTGTAACTAAAAAAAAGTGATAGAAATAAAAAATGCGGCTGAAAAAAGTGAGAAACACTTCAAAAAAGTGACGAATTCAAAAAAGTGGCATAAATTAAAAGAAGTTATACAGAGTAAAAAAGTGACAAACACTCAAAAAGTGACAAACTCAAAAAAATGACGAAATTTTTTATTTTTTTTTAAAAGCGAAGGGCTAATGATGATTTATATTTATAACTCTCATCCAATATACAACAATTCTATAATCAAATAGAGTGAACAAATTCTTGAAACACCTTTATTATTAAACCCACTATCCATCTCAATATATATCATTAGCAACTGCCTCATCCCTCTCGAAAATTAGCGCACAGCAAACCAACCACCAAGCAATCTCCATATCGTCAATCCAATAGTTTCATCACCATTCTCCACCTCGTTTACTTCTCTATGCACTTCACTTGGATCACTATTGCTATTATCATAGTTATTACTATCAATCGGCAACTCATATCTGCAAACTGGACAAGAATTTCGATCGCTGACAAAAAATTAAACTTCAAATATGAAATTGTCACAAATTTTGGGAAAAAAAATTAAATTAAGACTAAAAATCATATGGATTAAAGAGGGGTAGGGC